AAAAATCATTAAATTTCTAAAATAGTGACAGTATATAAACTTGTTCAATAAAGCTTATACTGCCACTATTTTTATGATTTTTCCTGAAGGCAGTCTAGATGGGTGGTCCTCCAAAGCTAGTGCTTCCTGATAAGAAAGTGAATGACACTGAAAAGCAAACCTAGGTGGACACTATGCAAAGAGTGGAGAAGGGTCAGAACGTGACAAGAGGACCCAGAAAACCTAGCATTTACTGAGCAGTTACTGTGTCAACTGCTCTAATGCAGCTGGTTATCCTATTAGCACATAACCACCAAGGCAGCTGCAGTTCTTTGACAGCTGCAGCCAGGTGTGATTTGACCCCACAGGAAATGGCACAATGCTGGGCAAGTAGAAGGTACCCTACAGATATGGGACAGAATGACTGAAACACTATCATTCCCAACTTTAAAACTAAGAAAACAGATGCTCAGAGAGCCTCAGTAACTTGACGGGCTAATAGCAATGCTTGGAACCGGCACCTATAGCCTGCACCCCAGTTTTGTATGTATGCATAAATAAATAAATCTTTAAAAAGAAAAAAGAATGAAAATACCTGGAAACAAAGGAGTGTGGCATCCAATGAAACCTACAACTTAAGGGTAAAAATGAAAACTCGAGCCTCCGTGGTGGCCTAGGGGTTAAGTCTCAACACTATCTATCACCACTGTGGCCTGAGTTCCATGCCAGGCACAGCAGACCTTTCCTGTTTCACCCACTGCTTCCCCTCAGCAGTGTTATTTCAGTAAATCTACCTGTTCTGCTCCCCACTATGTCTCTGGTGAATCCTCTCAATCCCACACCTCTGGCCTACACACCAGTTTTTCTATGCATAAATAAACCTTTAAAAAAAAAAAAGAAAAGAAAAGAAAACTACATACCACAACTCACCCAGAGATCTCTGTTTTAAAACAGAGAACACTTGGGGCAAGATAGAGCACCATTAAGGAGAAAAGAAGGAAAGTTAGTCATCAGGTGCAGATTTCCCACCCTGCCCCCATGTTTGATTCTACAGATCATATCAAAAGAAAAGGTTGTACGAAGAAGC